CCTGAAGGCCAGCAGGTTTGGAGGGACCTGAAGGTCTGAAGGGACCTGAAGGTCTGAAGGGATCTGAAGGTCTGAAGGGACCTGAAGGTCTGAAGGTCTGAAGGGACCTGAAAGTCTGAAGGGACCTGAAGGTCTGAAGGGACCTGAAAGCCTGAAGGGACCTGAAGGTCTGAAGGGACCTGAAAGCCTGAAGGGACCTGAAGACCTGGAGGGACCTGAAGGTCTGAAAGTCTGAAGGCCTGAAGGGACCTGAAGGTCTGGAGGGACCTGAAAGTCTGAAGGTCGGCCTGAAGACCAGCAGGTCTAAAGGGAACTGAAGGCCTGAAGGGACCTGAAGGTCTGAAGGGACCTGAAGGCCAGCAGGTTTGGAGGGACCTGAAGGTCTGAAGGGACCTAAAGGTCTGAAGGCCAGCAAGCAGGTTTGGAGGGACCTGAAAGTCTGAAGGGGCCTGAAAGTCTTAAGTGACCTGAAGGCCTGAAAGCTGGTCAGCCAGTCTGTAGGGACCTGAAGATCTGAAGGTCTGAAGGCCGGCAAACAGGTCTGGAGGGACACGACGGCCAGCAGGTCTGAAGGGACCTGAAGGTCTGAAAGGGCCTGAAGGCGAGCAGATCTTAAGGGACCTGAAAGTCTGAAAGTCTGAAGGCTGGCCAGCAGGCCTGGAGAGACCTGAAGACCTGAAGGTCTGAAGGGACCTCAAAGCCAGCAGGCCTGGAGGGGCCTGAAGGTCTGAAGGGACCTGAAGGTCTGGAGGGACCTGAAGGTTGGCCTGAAGGCCTGAAGGGACCTGAAGACCAGCAGGTCTGAAGGGACCTGAAGGTTTGAAAGTCTGAAGGGCAGCAGGTCTGAAGGGACCTGTAGGCCCGGAGGGACCTGAAGGCTTGAAGGGACCTTAAGGTCTGAAGGGACCTGAAGGGCAGCCGGTCTGAAGGGACTTGAAGGCTTGAAGAGACCTGAAGGTCTGAAGGGACCTGAAGGGACCTGAAGGGCAGCAGGTCTGAAGGGACTTGAAGGTCTGAAGGGACCTGACAGTCTGAAGGGACCTAAAGACCTAAAGATCCGAAGGCCTGAAAACAGGCCTGAAGACTTGAAGGTCTGAAGGGGCCTGAAGGCTGGCCAGCAGGAGGCAAACAGGTCTGAAGGCCAGCAGGTCTGAAGGGACCTGAAGGTCTGGAGGGACCTGAAGGCCTGAAGGCCGGCAGGTGCTGACCCGGTGCTTTTTGCAGTTCATCCACACCCTGGAGGCGCAGCAGGGCTTCTCCCAGCGGGACCGGGGCTACGTGGCCAGCCTGCTCACCTTGGCCCTGCACGACAAGCTGGAGTACTTCACCGAGGTCATGAAGAGCCTGCTGCAGGACCTGGTGCAGCAGTATGTCGCCAAGAACCCAAAGCTCATGCTGCGCCGGTAGGTGGAGAAGACCCCCCGAGGTAGCCATAGGCAACCAGACCCGGGGTTTTCCCCGGGTAGAGCAGAAGGTCTCCAGAGTCTGAAGGTCTGATCCTCCCTTAGACCTGGTTTAGGGTTTTTAGTGAGCAACCTGCTCTGGGACAGTAGTCATCCAGACACCTGTATTCGTCCCGCTCTATGGTTCTTGTATTCAAGATATACCCTATAGTTCCTGCTTTTTGGTTGTCTTTAAGTTATACCCTATAGTTCCTTCTCTATGGTTTAAGATATACCCTATATTTCCTATATTTCCTGCTTTATGGTTATTGTCTTTAAGTTATACCCTATAAATCCTGCTCTATGGTTCTTGTCTTTAAGTTTTACCCAATAGTTCCTGCTCAATTGTTCTTGTCTTTGATTTATACCCTATAGTTCCTGCTCTATGGTTCTTGACTTTAAGTTATACCCTATAGTTCCTGCTCTATGGTTCTGGGACAGTAGTCATCCAGACACCTGTATCCATCCTGCTCTATGTTTCTTGTATTCAAGTTATACCCTATTGTTCCTGCTCAATTGTTCTTTTCTTTAAGTTATACCCTATAGTTCCTGCCGCCTGGTTCTTGTCTTTAAGTTATACCCTATTTTTCCTGCTCTATGGTTCTTTTCTTTAAGTTATACCCTATACTTATTGCCCCATGGTTCTTGTCTTTAAGATATACCCTATAGTTCCTGCCCTATGGTTATTGTCTTTAAGTTATACCCTATAGTTACAGCTCTATGGTTCTTTTCTTTAGGTTATACACTATTGTTCCTGCTCTATTGTTCTTTTCTTTAAGTTATACCCTATTGTTCTTGCTCTATGGTTCTTGTCTTTAAGTTATATCCTATAGTTCCTGCCCTATGGTCTCTGACCCAGTACTGGGGTCCCATATAGATCCCAGTTGTGGCTGGTCTGGAGCTCCTGAGCCTGGACTGACCTGTATGTGTCTTTCAGGACAGAGACAGTTGTGGAGAAGATGCTGACCAACTGGATGTCCATCTGCCTCTACTCCTTCCTCAAAGTAAGTGTCTGCCCGTCTCTGCCTGGTCCCACCTGGTTGTGGTCAGGTCTCACCAGTTCCCACCTCGTCTCACCTGGTCCCACCTGCCCCCCCTGGTCTCACCTGGTCCCCTGCTCTCACCTGGTCTCACCTGGCCTGGTCCCCCTGCTCTCACCTGGTCTCGCCTGGTCCCCCCTGGTTTGCCTCGTCCCCCCTGGTCCCATATGGTCTCACCTGGTCCCACCTGGTCCCACCTAGTTCCCCCTGGTCCCAACTGGGATCACCTGGTCTCACATTGCCCCACCTGGTCCCACCTTTTCCCCCTGGTCTCACCTGGCTTTGTCCCGCTTGTCCCCCCTGGTCTCACCTGGCCTGGTCTAAACTGGTATCACCTGGTCCCACCTGGTATCACCTGGCCTGGTCCCAACTGGTATCACCTGGTCTCACATTGTCCAACCTTGTCCCCCCTGGTCTCACCTGGCCTGGTTCCAACTGGTATCACCTGGTCCCACCTAGTTCCCCCTGGTCTCATCTGGCCTGGTCCCAAATGGTATCACATGGTCTCACATGGTCCCACCTGGTCTCACATTGTCCGACCTGGTCCCACCTGGTACCCCCTGGTCTCACCTGGCCTGGTCCCACCTTTTCTCACCTGGTCCCCCCTGGTCCCACCTGTTCTCACATGGTCCCACCTGTTCTCACATGGTCCCACCTGGTCTCACCTTGTCTCACCTGTTCTCACCTGGTCTCAACTGGGTCTCACCTGTTCTCACCTGTTCCCACCTGGTCCCACCTGTTCTCACCTGGTCCCACCTGGTCCCCCCTGTTCTCACATGGTCTCACCTGGTCTCACCTGTTCTCACCTGGCCTTGTCCCGCTTTCCCCTGGTCTCACCTGGCCTGTTCTCACCTGTTCTCACCTGTTCTCACCTGTTCCCACCTGTTCCCACCTGTTCTCATCTGGTCTCACCTGGTCCCCCTGGTCTCACCTGGTCTCACCTGGTCCCCCCTGGTCTCACCTGGTCTCACCTGGTCTCGCCTGCAGGAGGTGGCCGGGGAGCCGCTCTACATGCTGTACAGGGCCATAAAGTACCAGGTGGACAAAGGGCCGGTGGACGCCGTGACGGGAAAGGCCAAGCGGACCCTGAACGACAGCCACCTGCTGCGGGAGGACGTGGACTACTGCGCCCTGGTAACCACGGCAACGGCTGACCCGCCCAGCAGCCACATTAGTTCATCATTAGTTAGTTTTATTAGTTAGAGCCTCTAAGTCTGCTGACTGCTGTTTCCATCCTGGTTCCCTCCTGTTTCTGCATGTTTTCTGCCTTTTTCCCTCCTATTTCCCAACTATTGCCTGCCTGTTTTCTGCCTTGTGATCATATGTTACTGCCTGTTTTCTACCTGTTTTCTGCCCGATTTCTGCCTGTTTTCTGCTCGATTTCTGCCTGTTTTCTGCCTGGTTCCCTCCTAATTCCCAACTATTGCCTGCCTGTTTTCTGCCTCCTGATCATATGTTTTCTGCCTGTTTTTCTCCTGTTTCCTGCCTGCTTCCCGACTGTTTCCTGCCTGTTTTCTGCTTCCTGACCATATGTTTTCTGCCTGTTTTCTGCCCGATTTTCTGCCTGTTTTCCTCCTGTTTCTGTCCTGTTGTCTACCTGATTTCTGCCTTTTTTTCTGCCTTTTTCCCTCCTGTTTCCCTCCTATTTCTTGCCTGTTTTCTGCCTCCTGACCATCTGTTTTCTGCCCGTTTCCCGCCTGTCCGTCAGACTCTGACTGTCCTGGTGAAGAACGGAGTGGAGGTGCAGCCCTGCCCTGTAAAAGTGCTCGACACCGACACCATCACTCAGGTAAGAACCTGTCTGTCTGTCTGTCTGTCTGTCTGTCTGTCTGTCTGACTGACTGTTTATCTATCTGTCTGTCTGTCTGACTGACTGACTGACTGTCTGTCTGACTGCTTATCTGTCTGTCTGTCTGTCTGATTGTCTGACTCTCTGTCTGACTGTTTATCTGTCTCTCCGTCTGTCTGATTGTCTGTCTGACTGTTTGTCTGTCTGTCTGTCTGTCTGTCTGTCTGTCTGTCTGTCTGTCTGT